AAGGGGGTCATCCCGTGTGATGACCGTTTTTTTTAAGGTTTTTTTGCATTTTTTTGCGGCGAAATAAAAAAATACAGAGCTTCTAAATTTTTACTATATATTTATTACATCTAAAACTATATGTGTAAATTTTTTTATTTGAAAATATAGCGTCGATGGCGAGTTACATCACTGGAATGGCACCCATGTAAAAAAAAAGCAGACAAACGGTGTCCACGATTCCGGCAGACTGGTTTATCTGAAATAAAAAAGCCAAATTGCATTTTAATCTATAGATAAATGGCTATCGCGGGAACTAGGATTATTTGAAAATATTAAAAATTCAATTTTTTGCATGCTTTTAAAAATTATAACTCAAAATAACATGATTTTTTGCGACTATTTTTTTATGCGGACAGAAAACGGTTCAATATTTTTTAAAAATTCTAGTTCCCGCGATAGCCACACATGTGCTGAATCTACCATTCAAATTTTATTTAAATCCATTGAACCGTTTTCGAGAAATCATGGACACCAGTTTAAAAAATACAGTTTTGAGAAAAACGCGTTTGAAAGTTCACGTATGAATTACACCATGAAATTTTTGCTTACCACTAATCTGCTATTCCTGGTGCATAGAGTATCCCTTCCTCTTCTTCTTGAAAATTTCGTAATGCCGACTACTCCTCCCTGGCTGAAATTCTAGCCTCTCTTGCCGCGTCGCTCATGCGCTGCTCGGAACGGCTGATCCGGGCATCGTCGCGGCGCTCTACATAAGCGTGCGCTGATCGTCCAATTGAACATCCCATCGTATGCATTATCTTAATAATGCCTTGGAAGCCTTCATTAAAGATGATGACGGCCAAAAAAGTTGCAATCTGAACTATCTGAGCGCCTGAATGTAGATGTTTCGGAGCGAACGTCCAAATGAGTGAATTTAACGACTCATTATTATTCTGCGTCTCTGCTCCTAAACATCGGGTCAAAAGATCGTTCTTGGATAAATCTTCATAGATAGATTTAACTACTGCTTGTACTTCCTTGGATAATGGGGCCTTCTCGTGGTGGAATTGGTCGAGCGTGTTCTTAGCTTCAGCCTGCCGCCATTTACACCAGCTACCTTCGCCTGCTGGACAGTTCTGGTGCTTTCGCTCAGCATGAGCGTGAGTTTTTCTTGTTCCTTTCTTGTCACTCATCGCAAACTTGAAACATTTGCACGGTAAAATATTACTGCTTACGACGACTCAAGAGCTATTACGCCGCTGACTGCGAAGCCAAAACTAAGCAACCGTTGCATTCAATTTGAGTTTCAAGACATCAGCATATCTCTAAATATGTGTGCGTGTGATTAGAATCGGCTTCAGGTTACAATCTGAAGGTATACAATAGCTCTTGTTATCGGCCCCGCCGAGCGCTCAACTGCGTGCTTAAACACCTTACCTTCTCACTGCTGTAACTTTTCAATGACTTCGAATTTCGGAAAATTACTTTGCCAGTATATTCTATGCATGCTCTAGATTAGATTTATGCAAAAAAAAAAAAAATCGATTTTTTGAAGCCGTCACACGGGATGACCCCCTTAAACATATCGAAAATATTGCAATTGCTTTTGCAAAGAAAAAATAATCTGATTGAAATAATTTGAATTTTAAAAGTTGCACAGCTATTATATCGAGTGTTTTATTTCATTAATTTTTTAAATTAATTTTATAGAATATTTTATTAATTTTATTACTAGAATACTTTTCTATTTTTTCAATATCGAAATACAAACGATTTGTTCGCAAAATTGTAAGTGATAAAAGATGAAACTTTCCGCGAGAGAATAGTCTTCAGAGATGCGCGGAGTAGAAATGGTACTCTTCATTGCATTTTCACGAACTTGTATAGAGACTTAATATCTGATGACGGATTAGAAAGATATTCAGCGTTGTAAATTGAAAGCTTTTGTTATTTATCGCGATTAGTGACTAATGACGCGGCTTATTCCGACAAATCTCTCAAAGCCGCAGCTTTATCGTACCTACTTATATTCGCGGAAGTTTTAACCGAGGCCGCGTTATTGTCACGCTCTATCTGAACGCGATTCTTTCCGTCATAATAGCGTAGGAATTCCCCGAGAGTAAATACACTAGTACCTCTTACCGATACATCCGTTATCGAGTCGCAATCGGAAATGACTGCGAAGACTTATTATCGTCATAAATCAAGAATCGAATAAGTACGATCGGCGGCAGTTCGAGTCTATGCGATTCACGTGCCCAACAAATCTGTCAAATCTGATGCGGAGTCTGATACCGGAGAAGAGGCGCGCGTCACTAATTATGTAAATTAGTAATGCGCGTAAATGTTTAACAAAAAAAGAAAGAAAAACATTAGGAGGAAAAACCCGCAGGTGTTTTTAGACGCTTTGTGTCACTGCCCTTTCAAATCAAAGACTTTTACAATGAAGTGACAAATAGAGAGAGAAAGAGAGAGAAAAAATCGACTCCGATCGACAGCGAACGTGTTGCGAAATATTCACCGGCTTTTTAAAAGTCTTGGAAATCCCGTGTAGCGTCATCGGCGCGTATTCCGCTGCAAGCTCGTGCGACGCGGATAACGCACCTAGGATCACGCATGTGCACGCACGTGCGAAGAGTGATGCAATTCCGATCGCTCGTGATGATTTCGACTAATCGAATTCGAGGGCGAAACTGCGAAACTGTGACAATAAAATTCTACCCACGTTTCTACGTGCGTTTCGTTAGATAATTCACACGTGTACGATTCGAATTTACAATTAAGGATAATAGAATGAGTCCTAAGTCCTTCTTCCGCGCGACCGAGAGATCAGTTAGAATATTTGCGTCCAAGGTCTACTTGTTTTTTTTTTTCTTTTTTTTCCAGAAATGTGCTTTTAATTTCGCGATTAATTAAATTGTCTCCGAAACAAGCGGTGAGAGATAAGCGACAAGTTCTGTGACCAGGATTACATCAGCAGGAATTAGATAACGTTGTTATTTCCGCGAAAGCAATTTCACTGTAATTCAATTTACCTGAATGCACAAACACGCAACCATCATTTCTTTTCGAGAAAAGAAATAATTGTTTATAGCTTGTTTCACGCGGTTAAGTCAATATAATAAGTCTTTATAATTGTTAAGCTAAGCAGATACATAAGGTAAGTGTGCAACTGGGCCATTTAATTGAAAATACGCTTTGATACTAACGCAAAGCTCATCGCACTTTGTCGAAAGCGCACGGAATTTTTTTTTTTTTTTAAGTAGCTTAGCACAGCAGAGGGATTGTTTTGCACACACACGATGGAATTTGGCATGGTCCTACACTTGCGTGCGCGCGGGTTACATCACGCGAGGCGTCGCGACGGCGACGCCGCGAGATCGGAGCGTATACGCGAGAGAGAGAGCAGATGTTCGTGATATTTAAAAATATCCGTAGAACTATTTGCATGCTGCTCGATATTCTCGCCTCGTCTCGTTCGGATCGGGAAACCCCACAGCGGCGTCGACGTCAGTGGCTTTCGTCGAACTTCCGCCCTTAAAAAGTCAACCCTTTCTCGTGATTAACCCTAGTCACGCAATAGTGGTGTCGAACACTTGAGTTTTCTATTTTAAACGAACATGAGAATGTGGTAAAGTTTTTTACGTCGTTGCAGCGTTGTGTCGTCTAAATTCTTTGAAAGTGCGTTCTGTGTGATTTAAACTAAGCAGCCTCGTTGACGCCGACAGCCTTATTTGGAGAGGCAAACGTATAGATAGGTAATTAAATCTATTAATTCTTTCAATGTCATTGCAACCGATCCTGCGCAGTTCTTGCACGATGGAAACGGAGGAGCGATAGCGCGCGCCTCGTACACGCCGCGCGTATTCACATATTTATGAATCTTTGCGATGATCTATTAGATTCATATTTCTATCTCTGCCATTGAAAAATGAGACGATATCGACGCAGTATATAATGTACGCAAGTATGCCGTCGAATTCCGCCAATGCAACCGGTAACGCGCGGCGCCGTTAATTTTAGAAGTTACTTACGATCGGCGCGGGCCTAGTTTGGACCGCGGGACGCCAAGCGAAATCTCCGACGACAATGATTCACCGTGCGTCTTCCTAGTTCTATCTATATCTCACGACAAGTTGAAGCATGTGACTGGCCATCGTTTCGATATGCGTATATCTCCATGTGTTTCTGGTTCCGTCAAGGGAGATAATAGGAAACTTGAGAGAAATTAGATGCAAATCGGCGGTTAGTTGCTCGAAGAATTCGGCGACATAAAACACATTACAGGATACATATAAATATAAAAAAATGCCACGCATATTCATGCTACACATGAATAATTGATGTTATTAATTGTTACAAATTGTTATTAATTGATGAACGATTTACTTGAAAAGTTTTTGCGGCAGGGTTTCTTTCTGTCCGTAAAATGATCCCCCAAAAAGATAATGTGTAAGAGAATACTTCTTATATTCAACATAATTTTCATTGTACACTGCTTGACCTCCGGTTCTTGGTTCGATTTCAGGTGAGATGTGCTTGCACCTGGCCGCCGGTAACGGACACGTGAACCTGGTGCGTCTTCTGCTGCGTCTCGGCGCCGATCTCGAGGCGAGGGAAGGGCTGGCGGGAAAAACGGCGCTTCACCTCGCGATGGAACGTGGATGTCAATCGGTGATTAATTTCCTGCTGCAGGAGTGCAAGCCCTGTCTGGACACGCAGATGTACAGCGGTCTGACGGCCTACCAGCTGGCATTGTGCACCGACGGCCAGCTCGCTAAGGAGCTAGTGCGACGCGGCGCACAGCCGGAGCCGTTGCCGGAATCGGATTCGGAGAGCAGTTCTGAGAACAGTTCTGAGGACGAGGCTTACGGAGAGGCGAGTTACTTGCCCGCGATCGTCAAGATGCAAAACGCGGTCGAAGTGAATGTCTGAAGAGTACCCACTGGATAAGTATCGTACACTGAAAAAAAAAAGATCTGGTTGAATTAATTGGACGTCTGGTGGAAAGTGAACGAGCTAGGATTTTCCAATTAATGCAACCAGAAGTTTCAATTAATGCAACTAGAATTCCTAGTTGTGCAGCCAGAATTCCTATTAATTCAACCAGTATTTTCTGGTGGAAAATGAACGAACTAGATTTTTTTTAGTGTATTAATTTGTTGAACAAATCTAAACGATTGCTGAAAGAGAAAATGATAGAAAAAACAAATGTTACATATGGCGCGCATACGCAATCTAAACGATTGCTGAAAGAGAAAATGATAGAAGAAACATATGTTACATATGGCACGAGGACGTATCTCGAATTCTATGGAAACGACTACGAAGTTATTTTATCATGTTATTTTATCAGCGAATCAAGACGGATAAATCTGAATAAAGTTAGTTAGAGTCAAACATGATTAAAACTGCATCGCGAGAATGGTTTCATACATTATATACAACAAGTGCATAAATTTGTACCTAGCTTTTTAATGTATTTACGAAATCATGTTAATCAATCGGATGAGTTTAGATGATTGCTACTTGAAAGTAAAAATTAGTTTTATTAAATTGAATAACAATCACGTTTGGCGAATCAAATTGTAGACACAAGTTTTGACGCGCTTATGACGACGTTCTAATTAATCGACGTGGATTAGGATGGATAATAAGAAAATTGCTAGTTAATTTGCTTTGACTTGTGTTATACGTGCACAATTATAGAGATGCAGCTTGAGCTCATGAGTATTACTATTATAATGCAATTGTAGACTATTCAAATCGATACTAGCGGCGATGTATGCCGGAAGATAAGCGAATAAAAACATATAACGGAGATGCGTGGATATCGAAGATCTCAGAAACGAACTTATACGCGATTAACGAATATTCGATTGACGAACGAAGCAACGACATATGAACGTAGATTGTCCTAGTA